TTCTGTTATTATTTTTATGGAGGGGTTTTTTTTCTCCTGTAAAATTAATCCAATCATTTTTAACTTTTTCCAAGGAGTTTTTTTCACCCCTCAATCATCATGTTTCTCAATGGACTTCTAATTTAGAAACTAGGAATTGCATTTTGTAAAGATTTGGCCTACCTCGCCTAAAACTCGCAATCAAATTTATTTTAACTTGCTTTGATGGGACCCCGACGGGTCTTTAATAAAAATTATTTATTTATTTATTATTTATTTATCATTGCAACTGAGATGCGCGCCTCGATATTCACCTCGTTGTCACAACGAAACGTTGTTTCGACCTCGGCTTTACCAAACCTCCAGGAAATATGGAAGAGGTGTACTGCCTACCTCAGATCGGTCGAAGTTGTCAGGCGGTACATTTATGGGATTGCAAACTATATTCTGCTCCGTATGCAAAAGATGAGACGAGGCCAAATCTAAGGAAAGGAGACATTATACAAATGAGAGTTGAGGCATCGCAAGTAGACCGGGATGTTCTCTCCGCCGGGAACGTTAACAAGGACTGGAATTTATTTAAGGAGCCGCTGACCCTCATCAAAATCTAGGACATACAACCGACCGCAATGGCTAACGCGAGATCTCAAAAAGCAGATCAGCAAAAAGGAAGGCTGTAGAAGACACTTTGCGAAAACAACGTTATTGCAGCGTTTACGGAGTAAAAAGTTCGAAGTAATAAGGTGAAAGGCTTGATTTTCGAGAGGCGACGGAATTTCGAAAATAATTTGCACCACCGAGCCGTTAAAAATCCGAAATTGCTCTACAGCTATTTGCGAAAGAGCACATGTGACCGGAATCCCATTCCTGCCATGAGGACTAATGACGGTTTGGAGATATCGGAAAGCACATAAAAAGCTGAGCATTTTTCTCAGTTTTTCCACTTTGTTTTCACAAGAGAAACAGACTTTATTCCATATATTTCTGATATTAAAGATACTGTGTTTCGAGAAGAATCGAGTTTAGAAGAACCGAAAGGCTTGAAGGAATGTAAATCTTCCTATCCGGAAGAGATCGCAGCAAAACTGCTCTATGAGCTTGCCTGACAGCTGGCCAAACAAATATCCTTCCTGTGCCAGAAATCGTTTGCTGCTGGAATCCTTCCCACAGACCGGAAAACGGCCCACATTACACCTCTTCAAAAAAGCGGTAGTCGTACTCTCGCGACGAATACAGACCCATCAGCCTGATATCAGTCTGCTGCAAAGTGATGGAGAAAGCCATCGGAATGGAGTTGATGGCTTATTTGGAAACCAACGACCTCTAGTCTAATGCTCAATACGACTTCCGTAAGGGAAGATAGTGTGTAATATACTTGCTATACACAATTCAAATTTGGACAAGAGCCTTCGATGCAAAACATACTGTGAATGATTTCCGTAGGGCTTTCGGCAGTGTTCCGCACCAGCGTCGCCTGCACAATGTGAGAGCCATAAGCATAGGCGGCAAACTTCTCAAATGGATCGAGAATTTCCTCGTCGGCCGTCCCAAAATTGTCTGCGTAGAACACTAACAATGAAGAGACACATTCATAGAGAGTGGAGTCCCATAAGGCTCAGTGCTCGGACCAACCCTCTTTCTCTTGTTCATCAGTGATTGTGTAAATGGGTTGGACTCTGATAGTGCCATGTTTGCAAATGACATAAAAATCTGGAAAGTCATTCAGAATGCTGTCGACAAGACAAGCTTCTACAAAATCTTTGTCGATTGGAGGAGTGCTCCGCAGTTGGATCTTGCCTTTCAATTTGAACAAATGCATCGTACTGGCCTCGGAAATCAGACCCCTAGTACGCGGCAATACCATCTGAACGGAATGTCCCGCCGGGACGCAGAAAAGCAGAAAGATCTCGGGGTCTGGGTTGCAGACAGCCTAAAGTATCCTACACAATGCTGTAAGGCGGCCAAGGCCGCAACTTCAATGCTATATGCCATCAAGCGGGTATTCGCGGTTTTCGATGAAGACTGCTTCTCCAAAGTCCTCGGCACGTTTGTAAGGCCGCATCTCGAATATGTAATTCGGGCCTGGAGACTGTAAACGCAGCAGGATTAAAATCTACCCGAAAGGTTGCAGAGGATAAGGATAATATTTTATTAAATACCCGTCGGGGTCCCATCAAAGCAAGTAACAATAAACTTACATGCGAATTTTAGACGAGGTGGGCAGAGTCTTTACAAAATGAAATTCATAGTTTCTGAATTAGTAGTCCATTGAGAAAAATGATTAGTGAGGAGTGACAAAAACTCCATACAAAAATTTACAAATGATTGGATTAATTTCACAGGAGAAAAAACCCTCAATAAAAATAATGACAGAAAAATGCGGGCAGGACTGGCCTGTAGGTGGCGGTATATAACGGATTATATTCGGACATCGTCAGGGCAGAAATAAATGTCAGCCTTGAGGGGTACGTATGCGGGTCAGACAGGATTGGCCTGCATGTGGTATTGTATACGGGATTCAAAACTGACATCGTCTGGGCCGGATTGATACGCCGCATGAGACTATTCGCGTCAAAGTGACCACACGACAGGAACCCCAGATGCGATCGGCCACAGCACGCTTCGAGCTCAGCCTAGGAGTGGGGAAGGGAGGTATGACCAAACTACTAGTAGACGGTGAATACTGAGGGTTCCGCCGTGAGCGTCGACAGACCGCATGAGGTCGGAATGCGGGAGATGACATCAAAAACCGCGAAAACTGTCGCTATGGGGGAGGAGTGATAGCAGTGGATTTAGA